ACCACACGGCTCTCCTCTCCTACTACCACACGGCTCTCCTCTCCTACGCTCCCCTCCTACTCCTACGCTCCTCTACTACTACTAATACTACTACTAATACTACTATGCTCCTCTCTTACTACTACTAATATGCTCCTCCACCTCCTTCTACTTAGGGCTGGGTGGTATGACCAAAAATGCATATCACGGTATTTTGTAAGATTCTGTCGGTTTCACGGTATTTTTTTTTCCGCGTTAAAGCATTCATTATTTAACGCCGAAAAGAACCAGCCGGCCGACCAGCGAGCGGTGAATAGCTGTTTGTGTGGAGTGTCTTCCTTTCCGTCACTTCCTGTTTCCTTCACCTACATTCCCCTGGGTCCTAAGCCCCTCCATGTACAGCTTCTTATCACCCTCTATGTACCAACGTACATTTATAACAAATACCACACATATTACGGTAATCGGCGTTGCATAGTGTCTGACCAAAATACCTTTTGTTGTTCAGTCTTTGTTCATCCTGCATCGCTCTTTTCTGTTCTTTAATGTGACGTTACTGGAGCGACAGAGCCTCTCCCAGCTGTTAGCAGACTGTTGATAGCGAGCTGTACCCAGCATGCAGTTCGGTGGTGTAATTTTATGACTGTACGATTATTAGTGTTAAAAATTGTTTGTGTCACAAACTGTTGTGTCGTGGTGTTTTGCCCTGTTAAAGAGCGTTAGTTGTGGGTTGTTATAAAGTTATGACCATGACTAGGGTTCCCTCTCAATACAGTTAAGACAACTAGCTCCGACTGCAGCGCTCTCAGCGGCGAACAATATATTTTGTTGCCTGTTGAAGAGCGACAGAAGTTGTTTCGGCTGTGCACCGGTATGACGGTGTATGAAAAATTCATATCATACGGGAAATTAAAACCGGTATACCGTTTGAACCAGTATACCGCCCAGCCCTACTACTATTTCACTCGTCCTCCTGCTGCTACACTCGTCCTCCTGCTGCTACACTCGTCCTCCTGCTGCTACACTCGTCCTCCTGCTGCTACACTCGTCCTCCTGCTGCTACACTCGTCCTACTGCTGCTACACACTCCTACTCCCTCCCAGCCTCAGTCAGTTGTTGTGTGTTTGTTGTTGACGACGTTGTTGTGTCTCAGGACTCCCTGGAGGAAGAGGATGACTCTGATGAAGACAACATGTGAACTCTTCATCATATTGTTTGTTTTATAGTTCATGAAGTTGTGCGTTTTGTTTTGATGAATTTCAACTTTGAAAATAAAGAAATCAACGAACTTTGTTTCTGTCGTCAGTCACTACATTTACTGTCGTACAACATCTCTATATATTGTACTTACTACATCTCAGGTACATGTTGTATTTAGAGTAAAAAGTACATGTAACTGAGATGTAGTACAGTACAAAGTACAACATGTACCTGTATCTTTGTAGAGGTACGAGGTTCTCACAGTGACGGTACAAACACATGTCATAGAATATGATTAATTGCTGTAGACATTTATGAGGTAACATTAAACGGTATTAATGCAGAAACGTCAGAATCACTGAAGTTATAAAAACAGTTTTCTACACATTAGTATCATTATTAATGAGTCTTGCCTATAAAATAACCTCCACTCTCCTCGGAGGATCGTGACGTATGAGGCTCCGCCGTCACACTCTTCCGCGCGCCGATGAGCCCGCCCACCGCGTCACAACAGCGACGTGTGCTCGGTAATTGTTCTCCAGACACGCGCTTATCGCTTCAGTTCCGCTCTGGATGTGTGTGTGTTAAACCGACAGACAAGCGGTGCTGATCTGTGACGTCACACTCCATTAAAGAAAGTGTCGATTGAAGGTTTATAGCGGTTTTAGGAGAGTTATGGACGTAACAGAACAAAAAGCGGGACCGTTCAGGAAGCCTCACAATCACTTCTTACCTTCGGCGTACCTGTCATGTCACAGAAGTGCGTTTATAAATATAAATACAACTTGTGTACACTATCTGACCGCTCATTCCGGTTACTCCCGCCATGCAGCGTTTGCATCGGAACGAGCAGGCAAACCGGTGTTATTGTTGAGTTGTTGTGTACATTAATGGATGCTTTATGAGCCGATGTATTAGAAATGATCATTGTAGCCAGAATACGTGACGTATATTTCTACCACGTTCATAACCGCGTGGATAAACAAGGTTTCCATCACTTTGTAGATTTGTGAACGTAGTTTGGTGTGTAGATCCTCAGCACGTAACGGGGCGGGGCTTCCTACTGTGTCCGTACAAGACAAGGACTCCCGCTCAGCCAATAGCGACGCGTCGTTTCTGGGGGAAAGAAACGCGCTCAGCCAATCACAGCCTCCAGCGGCCGTGATTGGACACTTATCCAGCGGATGACGTCATCTCCCTCGTGGCGCCTCGTTCGTGTCGACTAATGGCAGCCGCCAGCAGAGGGTTTTTATATCCAATCAGAATCGAGGAATCGCTCGACCAATCAGAATAATGTATCCGTTTACCGAACACCGCTGTCACCGCAGCCACTTGCATGCCGGGAAAACAAGAGCTCGGGACTCAACAGCTTGTTGTTCGTGTATAGCGAGAGGCGAAGAAGAAGAGAATGTGAGTATAAAACCCTTCTGGACCCGACTAGACCTGGTCCCGGAGCAAACACCCGGTGTACCGGAGCTCCTTTAGTACCGAGCTGTGAGCTGAATGGCAACAGCAGCTTGTGTGTGTTTTTCTTGCAGTGAAGAAATGTGAAGCGACCACATAATAAATAAATAAATAACTCACACAAAAAAAAATGTCACCGGGTTCGGTTCGGTTCGGTAGAAAAGTTGTTATCCCTCCGGAAGCGAACGAAGAGCTAAATGTGTCCGTTCGGCCTATCGGACGTTTAAACCTCCCTACGATCCACGGACTAGCATGTTAGCTTCACCTAGGCAGCTAACTAACATTAGCTTCTAACGTTAGCTTCCCGTAGCTCCAGTCCTTCCGCTCACACACGGCCGTTCGTTCGGACTGTTTCGTACCGGGACTCGGTCACGTATCTACCGGGACTCTGTGCAGCTGGTAGCTAGCTGTGTGTGTGTGTGGAGGTAAAGTTAGCCGAAGCTAACTTTACCTCCACACACAGACACACACACACACACAGCTAGCATCGAGCTGACATGGACGAGCTGTGATGGCGACGTGACTCAGTGGAGCGGGAAGAGACGCTCCTCTCCGTACATCCGGGTCCTCACTGAGACCCGCAGATATTTATAACGTACAAACCGGCGGAACCTGGTTCAGTCCCAAGTTAGAGCTAGTTAGCTTAGCATTATGTTGTGACACATTGTCTGTCCTCTGCGGTGCTGCCAGCTTTAAAGTCCTCGTCCTGTTTGTGTCTTTCAGTGATCCACAATCCTCCGAGCTGGACCCCCTCAGATAAGAAGATGAAGGTGAGTCTGAGGAGCGTTAACCTGTGGAACACTAGCAACCTGTAGACCAGCAGACTGGGCTCTGCTTGGTCCTGGACTCTCTGCTTGGTCCTGGACTCTCTGCTGGTCCTGTACGCTCTGCTTGGTCCTGGGCTGGTTTCTGTCCAGTTTCAAATTCTCCTCTCAGTCCACCAATAATACTGTCAACAGTCTGTTAATTCATCAAGAAAAGATGAGTTAACAGCTTGTTAAAGATGAAGTAAAGAACATGAGAGACTAAGTGAATACAACTCTATGATCTGGATCAGTTCTAAACCTGCGTCTCCTCTGAGAGACTCTATGATCTGGATCAGTTCTAAGCCTGCGTCTCCGCTCCGGGACCCAAACAAAGATAGCAGCTGTAGATGAAACCTGTCATTTATCTGGTTGCCATCTTAGTTTCGGTCCAGGTCTGGACGTGGACCCTGTGAGACCTGTTAGTCCTTCAGAATACAGCAGCTTGAGTCTAGGTCCAGCTCAGACCTTCAGAGAGGTCCCATGTTCATGAGACTCACCTCAGTGTTTAGGCATCATTGTGTTTCTCTCCATGTCTCCTAAATATCTGAGACGTCTTTAAAGCAGAACTATAAAAGATTTACAACAAATCTGAGGTCCAAAAAGTAGACGAGCAGGAAATCACAGCTAAAGTTGAGTTGTTTGAACTAGACTTTGATTAGTAAGACAAACGCACAACAAGACTGTGCAGAAGTATCAGACCGGGTTTGGTTTAACTAAAGTATCAGACCGGGTTTGGTTTAACTAAACTATCAGACCGGGTTTGGTTTAACTAAACTATCAGACCGGGTTTGGTTTAACTAAACTATCAGACCGGGTTTGGTTTAACTAAACTGTGAATAAAACGAATATCACGTGACTCTTCAACTACACTGGGCATGAAGGTAAATACGACCGAGTAATAAAGTAGTCTTTAAGAATCAAAGGTCATGTTTTAAACTTAAGATCTTCTCTAAAATCTTCCTCTATGAACTCAAACAGAAAGTTCGTGGAAAGTTTCAGAGGTTTTATTTTCCAGACTTGGTTACAGCGCTGCAGGTCTTCATCTCTCTCTCTCACATCAAACTTATTTTAATATGAACATTTACACATAATAGTTGAATAGATTATGGTCCATAAATGTGGTCAACACACGTCTCTCACTCGTTTCATTGTTTCTGTTCTCACTCGTAGCTCTGCTGGTGTCTGAAGTCTCTGTCCTACTGGAGAGCATTTATGCTTTTGTTCCTTGATAGTTTATGTGCGGACATCACAATAGGTGTGTAGAATAAAATAAGCATTAAGGACAGGAAAGTCCTCTGTTTTTTGTTCCGTCCTCCCCAAAGCCGCTAACCGTGACTTCAGACAGCTGCTCCGTAGGTCTGATAACGCCGCTGCTCACTAATCGCTCCAATAACGGCTGCTTCCTCCGTAATAATGCAGACTTTAACTGAACAACTGCTGCTAGTACAGACAACAAGGTCAGCAACGCCTGTAATCAGTTGTCCATGTTGAATTAACCTGGTAGTCGAACGGTAATCAAGGATGTTGTTGTTTGTGAATTTCCAGGAAAGGGTCACATGATCGGGGTGTGACGAATAAGGGAAGGACAATCAAGTAGGGAACACGTGATCGTAGTAGTAGTGAGGACCCTCGGTGTAAAGTAGTAGTGAGACCCTCGGTGTAAACGTAGTAGCGAGGATGCTCGGTGTAAACGTACACAGTGGACACTCTTTCAAAGGGAGCACCTCTTATCTTGGAGTTTGAGGTGATGCTGTCACTGAAAATAGCAATAAAATGTCAAGAATTGTCTTTATTCTTATTCTATTATTTCATAAATACAACAAACTATAGTTTTTGTATAAATAATATAACTATATATAAAACTTTATAAGCTGTGACATCAAATAGCTTTTGCGGCTCCAGACAAATTTTATTTGGTGGAAAATAGGACAAAATGGCTCTTTGGATAGTAAAGGTTGGCGACCGCTGAACTAATCCATCAGACCTGGTTTGGTTTAGGTAAACTGCTGTGTGCTGCAGTGCACTCTGGGAGCGTGTGATGTCACTGATTCGTGTGTGTGTGTGATGTCACTGATGTGTTCCAGGCAGCAGACGAGCCCCCCTACCTCACCGTGGGGACGGATGTCAGCGCCAAATACAGAGGAGCCTTCTGTGAGGCCAAGATCAAGACGGTGAAACGCATGGTGAAGGTCAAGGTAAGACTCTCAGGGACCAGGGACCAGGTCCACCCTCAGGGAAACGCATCCTCTTGTGAACCCGACCAGGTTTCTGGAACCAGTGTAGCATTAAAGTGGAATTAGCAGGCTAACTAGCTAACTAGCCTTCCGCTCTGTGAGCTCCATCCCACGGCATGTTGCTATCACCAGATAAACAGCCAATCACAGCACAGTAGGGCGGGGCTAAAGGGAACGGTCTACAGAGGGATTGGATCCAGAGAAGTGTCCGTTATTCAGTCCACGTTGTTGTTGTCCTATCGTTAGCAGAGAGGACAAACTGTCCCTGGATCATACCCACATGTCTTCATGTCTCTGTGTCCTCAGGTGAATCTGAAAGGTGAGAGTACGTCCCAGGTGGTGCAGGACGACCAGGTCAAAGGAGCGCTGAGGGTGAGACGTGTGTGTGTGTGTGTGTGTGTGTGTGTGTGTGTGTGTGTGTGTG